GAACGCAGGTAAGGAGCTTGCACAAGTACGTTCAACAGGTTTGATCCTATCTTAGATGCCACATGGCCATAAAGTCATCCTTCTAGATGGGCTCGTTAACATGACTAGAGGGCAATCATAGTTACCACATCAACTGTACCTGTGTTTGTTTGTTTATCGTTTTGATGTCAGTCAGTTAGATTCACGATCTTTTTCTTTCTTTTTTTTTTACACTTACATAAAAGCATGTGGTACTAATAATGGGCTGTCAATGCTGGCGAATATTTCGGCATAAGTTTCGTTTTGGGGGTGGGGGAGGGGTTTTCTTCAAGACTCCGTAGCTCGAGGCAGAAAATTATTTGGAGTGCACAAGTTTTCTTGTCCGAACTTCGACATATGTGTCGTCGGTCTCAAACACAAGTGGTGGCCAGCTGCGCCGTGGATGTCCAAAGACCGTGATATGGCATGCGTGTCATCTCACCCGTAGTGCAGCTAAATGTTCATAAGGAAATACGCCCGCGAGTTGACCATTAACGTACGACTCTCCTGACCCACTTCCCTTGTCGACATAACTTAAGGCACAAACTGGTGCCCTTCAAGACATCGTTATTTCAATCTTTCAAAATAAGATATACTTTCTCAGTTCGTCTAAAATGGCCTTAGCCACACACCCATCCCTCATTCAACTTGGTTATATTGCGCACAGTAAATAATGTCCCAATTACATCATTTCGTGTTGCTGATAAAGACTACATATGTATCTGTATGTTTCCACTCATTTTAAAGATTATACTAAGCAAGAATTACTTGAAGCTTAAAACGCTTTAATAATAAATTAGAGTTCCGTAATATACTGTAAGCAACGCAATAATAGACTGAACTCGTCATCAAATAACTTACTAAGTACAAATAGTAATAAACACATTTTATATTTTAGCTAGGAATAGAGAGGCAGAATTACGCCATGGCACCATTTAATTTACTCTCTGCCAATGTAATTCAGTATGTTAATTTGTTTCAGAACAAAGTCGTACCAGCACACACAACACCATGACTTGAATACTGCTATAAAACTCTAAAGCCACACCGTAATAAACATCCACCCAGCCAACTAATAATATTAGCTTAGCTGTCTTATCTCGATAATTCAAGAAAAATGACACTCTGTAAGGTGATTATCTGTTCTTAATTTTACCAGTTTCTTAAGCAAATACACTAAATGAGTTCCTGTTGTAAAAAAAAAAATGTTTTACAGAAGTGTCTGAACCGTCTGTAGCAGCACCATTTTAACGTATTTGACTTGCATAGGAACTGTAACTTATATTACTGTAATATCCCCAAGCATCCCCTCTTTGTAACTCCTTCCAACACCACTGTTTTAGATAAGCGTGTAAGAAATATGTTTTACAGAAGTGTCTGAACCGTTTGTAGCAGCACCATTTTAACGTATTTGACTTGCATAGGAACTGTAAATTATATTACTGTAATATCCCCAAGCATCCCCACTTTGTAACTCCTTCCAACACCACTGTTTTAGATAAGTGACAGAACATAAAAAAAAAATAACTTGTTAATAGACTTTATATTTCCATGTGAAAGTTTGCATCATCGGACTTGTAATTAATACATCTTGCTCATATATATTAATACATCTTGCTCATATATATTAATACATCTTGCTCATATATGAATGAGAGGGAAAAAAAAGATCGGTAACAGAAGTCTTACAGTTCGACCCGTATATCGTGATTCAAGTGTTTTATCTTCAGTAAATTGTAAAAATAAACAATTTATTAGAACGGTCAATACTTCTACTCTGCAAGCCTTTCACATCAATAAAACTACACGACGGCGCGTTATGATTATTATAATTCTATTGATTTAATAAGAGAACCATAAGTCAACAAAAATATCATTAAAGTAATTTTTTAAATATTTTAACACATCTTAGTTGTTTATAATTTTCTAGTACCTAATTAAAACAAATAGAGGTTTTTGCTTCGCTACTGATGATCATACACTTTACTTTATCTACTTATTCACTCATATGCAAATATGTATAAGCACATCCAATAAGTTACAATTACGCAACTTGTTCCATACGAACTGATGTATTACACCTTTTTAACATGTTCCATACGCACTAATATATCCAAGTCATAAACAGATTTGCAACCAATTTATCAGACTATATTCCAGTGCCAAAGATCCTTCGTAGCGTTAGGTTCTTTTATCCAAATAATGTTCCAATAATCTCAGATAATTTGTTTCAATATCCAAACTACATCTTATTTATTAAACTTGTTACACATAGCATGTAAGTAAAATTTTATT